ATTTGTAAATTAAATTAATTTTCATCTTCCGATTAGAGTGTCGGGATGAAAGCCTCTAATTGTGTTATAAAAATGAATAATTGATATGATTGATCCCATCCAATTGAGGGAATTTTGACGCTTCACTGCTTCGAATTATTGAGAGAATTCCGTCGCTTCACTACTTCGAATTATTGATTTTTATCCTTTAAATATTCTTCCATCTCCATGTGGATATGATACCCCAAAACTGTGCTATAACTATCGCGTTATTCTTTGGGCATAATCAGGTATCGATGTATATCAATTTTTTTTTATTTTAGGCTGAGATCCAAATATGTTGGGGTACAAGGTAGTAAAAACAGCTGCAGCAGCTGCTAAGGGGAAAAATAAGGATATCCCTGCCGAGGTTGTGGTCCAACCCGAGGAGCCTGAGGTCGAGCCTGGACAGTCTCTGAAATGGTGCCGATCTAAAGAGCTATCTCGACATTCTACTCCATTAGCTCCTCTCCCCAAAAAGTCTACATCTCTGTTACCTCATCAAGGGTTGCCATCAGTGCCCATCGCCATTCCAATTATTACTAATTTACTACTGCTAGCTCCTCGAGGTCGTAAGATAGGTGCCCAGATCTGTAAAGGCCCAATGTTGATAATTTGGTGGGCCACCGACCTGAGATACTCCTTGACTTTTTGAGGGTTCCATCCCCTTCAAAAGAGTCTACTGCAGCACTACCTTCCACTCTGAGAGTCAGCCACTCTCCTCACCAAAAGTTGGAACGAGATAGAGAAGTAGTATTTGGCTGAGATGCCTATGGGTGAGGCTATAATCTCAGCTCAACTCTACAACCTCATATATATTTTTTACATGATGTTTGTGTTAGAAAAGGTATTTTACCCAAGTTCTTATACTTCGAAATTTTTTGCTCTTTTTCAATTTCATAACTCAAATTACCTTCTTATTTTTAGGTGAAGGTCAGGCTTGATAAAATGTTCGAGGTCAGAACCCTAGCATTAGGCTTATTTGAAAAAAATGGAGGTGGAAAAGGAAAGCTTTGCCAAAAAAGAAAAATATTTTGAAGATCACCTCGACAAAATAGGAGTGGAGCTAAATGCCAGGTTGACCATAGTGCTCAAACTAATAGATGATAACAAGGCTTTGCAGATTTGGGGGAAAAAAACCACTGCTCGAGCTGAAAATGAAAAGAAAAGGGCTGACAAAGAAAAAGCTTAGGCTGAGGAGGCCAATAAGAGGTGGCTGATGATGAGGTTAAGGTTTCTAGGACAGTAAAAGAACAGAGAGCCTCTATTGAGTTTGATGCTTTAGCTCAAGATTCTTATGTTATGAATTTAGGAGAAATGATATAGCACATCAATACGGAGAGGCCAGACTTTGACACCTCTTTCCTGGTACAGGCCTACAAGGAGCAACAAAAGGAGCTTGAATAGTTATTGAAGGCAGCAGGAGTTTGGATTTCCCTTGTCGGCGAAGATGTTGTGGATGAGTTCCTATCTCCACAGGACCCACCATTAGCCTCTTACTTATATTGCTGTATTATACTATTTTTGGCTTTTGTCGAACTTTTTGAAACTTCTTTTGGAATTCAAGTGTAAACCGCGCTTTATCAATGAATGAATATTAGTTCGTCTTTTTTCTTAGCACAAAATATTATTACGTCTTCAATTTTTGTAAATTATGAGAAATGAACCTTACTTTGTCTATCTAGACTAAGTGTTGCAACACATTGACCTTAGTTCGGCCTACTAATGAGTAGGGCTTTAATGATTTCCTTATTTAGGAAATTTCTCTAAGTGTTACAGCACATACAACCTTAGTTCAGCCTCCTGATGAGTAAGGCTCTAATGATTTCTTTATTTAGGAAATTTCTCTAAGTGTTGCAGCACATGCAACCTTAGTTCGACAAGCTGATGAGTAGAGCTTTAATTAGGGGTGAACACGGTTCGGTTTGGGCTGTTTATGTTATATTTTCAACTCAAATCATTTCATGCGGTTTGGAATTTTTCCAAACCAAACTAAACCAAACCATTATTTGCGGTTTGGTTTGGTTTTAATCCGCTCTTTACCTATCGACATTATAGTTATA